CACACACACACACACACACACACACACACACACACACAAAGAACACAATTTAAATTGATTGACATCTCAAGTCAAAACCGGTTTCTTTTTTATTCTCTTTCATCCAAAGGTCAGATCAAACTCACCTGGAGTGAGGTGATGATTGGCATCCAGAGCTCCTTTATTGTATTCCCCGTCAACCTAGTAATTGTGGGAATCTTCAGACATTCCCGTCCCCGAAAAAAGAAGACAAAGAAAGAAAAGGAGCATAAGCAGTCTGAGCCTCCTCAAATGGAGAGAGACATCCCATATGATCCCGCCTCTCCACTTTTTGATCAGAACAATTTAACTGTAGATTTCCTTATCAAAGTAAGTCCTTTATTAATTATCATGCACATTCTGTATGATTCAGTTTGATATATAGTGTGTCCACTATATTCACGTACCTAAATATTCACTTATACTACCGTTAAAAGGTTTGTTGGGATAATGTAAGTACACAAGTCAGCAAAATATACAACACTAGTGGTTTTTGGATATTTTAATAAAAATAAATCTTACATATTGTGCCTTTAAGTGAGTCAAAAACACTCTGAAATTCAGCTAATTGATTTAATATAAATGTAAACTAATAAAATAATACAAATTCATTTAACTGTTATTACCATGCATTTTAAAGTTCGTGAAAAGGCAATTCAGAGTGTCAGAGGGAAAAAAAATGTTTAACCTTATTTTATTTACTTGCCTTTTTTATCATTCAAATTTGGCTGGGTGGTTAATAACACATTTTTCTGTGTGACAAACTCAGAATACATATTTAATATTGCTTTACACAGACTTTAAGTATCTGAAAAACATTACATTCAGTTTGCACAAGTATACACTTTTAAACTAGTATACTATTTCTGTAATAAGCACTCTTTTTAAAGGTATGCTAAAGTTTACTTCTTTTCAGAAGGGAATGTCTTTCAGATTCTTCATTAAAGGCCCGTTCACACCAAGTACGATAACTATAAAGTTAACGATAAAGATATAGTTCTAAAAATCGTTCTCAGCATTAAAGAATAGCAGAGTCCACACCACAGCTATAACGATAAAGGCACAGAGAAACGATATCGTTGGAATCACTTCCAGAACGTTTTTTTCCAGCTGATGAACGATACAAACATTGACAGCCAATCAGAATCCAGCTATAACAAGCTAGAGAATTTAAAGAGGCAGGCACACGGGCGCTTAGAATAAACAGACGATATCGTTTGCTGGTGTGGACTCTTAATATCGGTATCTTTATAGTTATCGTTCTTGGTGTGAACGGGGCTAAAGGGTCTTTTATTTTAGGAAGTGGCTGTGTTTTTGATTTCTTACGTTCAATCTTGATATTTTCTATAGATGGTCTCAATGGAGTGCGGCTTTCTAAGAGGGACTGTGCACGCAGCTACTATCAGCCTCCACCTCCCAGTGATATTGAGAAGCTTAAGAGAAACATGGTCAAACAGCAGAAAGCACAGCATTAAAGAATAGCAGAGTCCACACCACAGCTATAACGATAAAGGCACAGAGAAACGATATCGTTGGAATCACTTCCAGAACGTTTTTTTCCAGCTGATGAACGATACAAACATTGACAGCCAATCAGAATCCAGCTATAACAAGCTAGAGAATTTAAAGAGGCAGGCACACGGGCGCTTAGAATAAACAGACGATATCGTTTGCTGGTGTGGACTCTTAATATCGGTATCTTTATAGTTATCGTTCTTGGTGTGAACGGGGCTAAAGGGTCTTTTATTTTAGGAAGTGGCTGTGTTTTTGATTTCTTACGTTCAATCTTGATCTTTTCTATAGATGGTCTCAATGGAGTGCGGCTTTCTAAGAGGGACTGTGCACGCAGCTACTATCAGCCTCCACCTCCCAGTGATATTGAGAAGCTTAAGAGAAACATGGTCAAACAGCAGAAAGCACGAGCACTCATCATGGAGATTCTAGGTAAGATAAAAAATAAAAAAAACCTGTTCACTTTAAGTTGTCATCATTGCTTCCCAGCTAACATTGTCGGAACTTTGGCTTGCGTTATAAACAAATGCTCTTCTAGTAACATTAAAAGAACATTTGTTCAAAGTTATCTGGTCTTTAATAACATTCTCAAAACATGAACATAAAAGAAGTTATGCATCGTTCATGCTAGTTTTTTTATGTTTTATTTTAATATTTGTCTAACATTTCTTAAATGTTATTTTATTTTTATTTTATTTTTATTTTTTACTTATTTCAGAAATTTTAGAAAACATTAAAAAAAATAACATTGCCATATTGTTTGCAAAATTATAAAATGTAACGTTCCCTTACTCATCATGGAGATTCTAGGTAAGATTAAAAAAAAAAAAACCTGTTCACTTTAAGTTGTCATCATTGCTTCCCAGCTAACATTGTCAGAACTTTGGCTTGCGTTATAAACAAATGCTCTTCTAGTAACATTAAAAGAACATTTGTTCAAACTTATCTGGTCTTTAATAACATTCTCAAAACATGAACATAAAAGAAGTTATGCATCGTTCATGCTAGTTTTTTTTATGTTTTATTTTAATATTTGTCTAACATTTCTTAAATGTTATTTTATTTTTATTTTTTACTTGTTTCCGAAATTTTAGAAAACATAAAAAAAATAACATTGCCATATTGTTTGCAAAATTATAAAATGTAACGTTCCCTTATGGTGCGTTCAAGTCATGTCGGATAGCAGTAATGTTTTCTATAACGCTTGCATAGCCAAGGAAACACTTTTTAAAACTTTAACTTTTTTTTTTGTAATTTATTAAAAGAAGGTACACCGCCATCTTGTGCCGACTAAACTGACTTGAACGCACCTGACGTCGTAATTACGACTTGTCAACTCATAAGTACGAACGTCCCAGGAGGACTTGAACGCAGCAGTAATGTTTTCTATAACGCTTGCATAGCCAAGGAAACACTTTTTAAAACTTTAACTTTTTTTAAAATGTTTCAACTTTCAAATGTTCAGAGAACAATCAGAAATGCCTGTTTTCAGGGAAAAAACGTTCTCACAACATATTTTTGTTAGCTAGGTTTTAGTTAATTTCTCTATGAAAGGAAGGCTGTGCACAGACCTGTATTTCCTTTACAGTCTTTCTGGGGTTTTTGTGGATGCTGCTCTTGGTGGCATATGGTCAGCGAGATGAAAATGGATTCTACCTCGCTCACCACATCCGGCAGAGCTTCAGCAATGGCATTTCAGAGAGTATGAACCACAATGATGTGTTTACCTGGGCTAACACTGTACTTCTTAATAACCTGTTTGGACAGTATCCAGGTACTTCCGTTATCTTGACCTGTCATGAATATCACAAGTGCACAACTTCTTTAACTCATATTTAAGGTAGTTCTGGCCCATCAGATCTATAAGGACTCTATAAAGACTGTTGTGTTTAATGACGTTTTCATTTTCATTTCCAAGGCTTTATAACGGATGGAAACTCGAAACTTGTTGGGGGCGCTCGTCTTCGTCAAGTTAGGGTGAAGAGAGACTCTTGTAAGATTGCTAAGTCTATGAGTCACGCTGTTCCTGAATGCAGTGCCCCTTACTCTTGGGAAAATGAGGACATGGGCGCTTACGGTCCAGGCTGGGATGAGTTGAATTTCATTAATGGCTCTGAGAACACCATCACAGCTTGGCAGTACCAAAGCCAGTCTGCGCTCAAAGCAGTCCCTGTTTGGGGTATGACTGCACTTTATAGAGGAGGAGGCTATGTTATGGACCTCGATTCTGACCTGCAAAATGCTAGCAGGTGAGAAATCGCATAAACACTGCTGCATTTTTTTTTTCACAAGATGGACCATGCAGAATGGCTTACTATCAGTTGACTTGCACATTGAACTGGGGTAGCAGAAAATATTTTAACATCCGAAAAATTACCTTTAAAGGGTTAGCTCACACAAAAATCCATAAATTAGTCCATAAATTACTCACCCTCAAGTCATCTTAGGTGTATATGACTTTCTTCTTTCAGACGAATCCAGTCGGAGTTATATTAAAAATGGTCTTTGATCTTTCAAGCTGTTTCATGGCACTCAGCGGGTGTTGCATGCATCAGTCCAAAAGAAGTTCAATAAAAAGCGCCCATCCATTAAAAATAAGTGTCTCACACGGCTCCGGGGGGTGAACAAAGGCCTCCTGTAGCGAATCGATGCGTTTTTGTAATAAAAATATCCATATACAAAACATAATAATCACTTTAATGTAGCTTGCGCTCACTGTTGTAAACTGAAGCAGTTCTGGGCGGATGACGTATGACGCATGTGCCGGTGAGTCTCGTGAAAACCAACGTTTGTTAACAGGAGCAAAGGAAGCAAAGTTTCCTTACTTTAGCAAAGGAAAACCAGTCTCCTCTTGGCTTATATCCCAATCCTCTGACATTCTTCGTTACAATTCCTTCTGATTATTACGTTTTGTATATGGATATTTTTCTTACAAAAACACATAGATTCACTACAGACGGCCTTTGTTCAAATGAAATCCAAATTTCTATGAAATCCTTTTTTAAAGCAAAAGTAAAGTGCAACA